TCCATTAAATTTTTGGCTGGTTCGCCTGCCCTTTTCCACCCTTCGCATCCTCATTCTCGTGTTTCCTCTTCAGGGCCCGTTTGCTCGAAGCGTTAACGGCGGCTAAAGTTAGCCGCAGTACCTAGGAGAGGGATTTTGAAATCACGTGACTGGGCTCGGTAGGGATCCGGGAAAACATGGCGGTGCCCCGGTGAGTGAGCGCCGCTCGCTTTAAAACTAATATGTCGTTGTAGCTGCAATATCGGGCGCGTTAGTCATCAACGATTGGTGAAGGAGACTTTCGCTTTGCCTTACCTCACTTAAACCGCAAAGCATGAGCAATCACCTCGTCGCATTTTTAGCTAGTCTTTCGATTCTGGCCATTCCTAAGCCTAAATGAACGCGGTAATTGTCGCCATGGCAACGTCTTTGAAAAGTGGATTGCCTTGCACGTGCTGGCGTCTGCAGTAGTAATTGTTCTAAAGCAAAAAGTCTAGCGTTCTCGATGCTCGGTTAATTTAGAAAAATGTCTATTGGGACCAACGCGCTTGAGCAAACTTAGAGCGGTAAACCAGCGGTCAAAAATGTCAACCCACCGGTTGCCGCCATCTTGCCTGTTTGCCACATTAGTGATCACGTGACGTTAAGATGGTTGCGCCCAGAGGTGGGCCAGATCAGATTGGCCAGATCGCGGTCAGCAGATGGGCGCTCTGGGGCTGCGTTCGAATCTTACTTGAATGGCGTCGAGTCGCATCAGGTCACGTGACAAGACAGATCCAGCAACGCTGGACGCGGCTAGGTTTTCGAACGCAACGGGTACGAGAACTTCACCCAGGAGTGAGATAAAAGATGCGTTTGATTTACTTACACCCCCTGTGCCGGTGCAGAAAAGTGTAGGGCAGTCTACTTCCGGTGTATGTATTGAGATACGACCGGAAGTACACCGCCCCACACTCTTCTGCACCGGTGCTGGAGGTGCAAGTAAATCGAACGCAGCTTCTATCTCACTCCTGGGTGAAGTTCTCGTACCCGTTGCGTTCGGAAACTTACCCGCGTCCAGCGTTGCTGCAGCTGTCTTGTCACGTGACTTGACCCGTTGGAATAACTCGGCGCCATTCGAGTAAGATTCGAACGCAGCCCCAGAGTGCCCATCTGCTGACCGCGATCTGGAAAATCTGATCTGGCCCACCTTTGGGCGCAGCCATCTTAACGTCACGTGATCACTAATGTGGCAAACAGGCAAGATGGCGGCAACCGGGGGGGGGGGGGTGCCATTTCCGCTGCAGGCAGTGGGTTCCGGTTTACCGCTCTAAGGTAAGACTCAAGCTCGTTGATTGGGACACTGTTTGCTTTTGTGTGCTATCAATGACCGGCCGACTGAGTCAAGACAATCCGCTTTCCAAAGACGTTGCCATGCCGACAATTATCGCGTTCATTTAGGCTTAGGAATGGCCAGAATCAAAAGACTATCTAAAGAATGCGGCAAGGTCATTGCTTATGCTTTGCGATTAAGTGAGGTAAGGAAATGTGAAAGCCTCCTGCACCATTCGTTGCTGACTAACGCGCCCGACATTGCAGCTACAACGACATATTAGTTCCAAAGCGAGTGGTGGTCACTCACCGGGGCACTGCCATGTTTCCTCGCATCCCTACCGAGCCAAGACACGTGATTTCAAAATCCCTCTCCTAGGTACTGCGGCTAACTTTAGCCGCGGTTAGTGCTTCGAGCAAACGAGCCCAGATGGCGAATAAAGTTCGATGATATACGCCGACTGCACCGTGTATAGTTTCGTTGCACAACTTTCAGCGTGCAGCTTGTTTATTTTCTTCGCGACTAATGTAGAAAAATGTCTTCTACGATGCCATGACTCGATCTGTCTTCTCGTCCAAATAGACCGATCCCACCAAGCGTTCCACGCATGCGTGACGCCGCATAACTGTAGTTCGTAGGAGTCAAACTCCAGTTCACGCGACAGCTCCTGCTGCCTCGTGGTCTGCTCGCGCAAACCTCCAGCAGGGTTGTCGCGCGTGCAGAAAGACTACAGCTCCCACGATGCATATCGGCAGCGGTGGCGTAGTCAAACTAGCTGGTGAGATTGGTCTGGCGGGTTCAGGCAGCAGACGGTACCAACCGATTCATTATTTTACCACGGTGTCGGTTGTTCGCGTTGTGGCGATGGGTCGGGAAGTCAGCGTTGACAAAGCTCTTCACATCAAGATACAATTAACGAGGTAATACCGCACCGTTCGAATTGACATTCCCCGTGTTTCCTCAACAACACCGTCCGACTGACTTCTCACCGCCTCAAATAGCGTCTAGGACAAGGAGCACGAATGCAGACCGGACAGCCGAGACGCGCGGAAGCCAAAACCTCAGTGGCAGCTAGCACCCAGCTCTCCTTCTCCGTTGCCCTCACAGCAACGGTCGCGCCTCGTCTGGCGCGGGACGATCTTTCTGCAGGTCTAGTCAGTTCGGTCACACAAAGAGCGGTGACGATAGTCTACTTCACCTTACGATGGACCTCAACATACAGCACGAGAGCCATCGAAATCAATCCAGTGCTTTCTGAGTGTCGCGTGACCCTGCAGTCCCGCTCACGGTGCTGGATTGCCTAGGGTGACTCGTAGCGTCCGCAGTGGTCCATCGCAAGGTGAAACAAAGCATGCAGAGACTAAAGTCAAAGGAAATGAGCGGGAATCCGCTAGCTTGCTTGTAACCCCAACCCACTAAAATATATAACACAGAAAATAAGCATCGGAACAAAGACCAAGTAATAGGCGGACTTACACTACAAATGCAGTATAAAAAAAAACAAGCCTCCGAGCAAAGCGCAAGAGGAGAAGAGGGAAGTGAATCTCGCTTTGTTTTAATGCCGAAGCAAACCCACATTTCGCACTTCAAAGGAGTGCGCACGAATGAACGTGGAAGGCAGCAGGGTTGGCTGCCTGCCATACAACGCGCCTCGAACTATAAGAAAACAATACCTGATCATCTTTCGACGGCGCCCGAGTCAACGAGATATCAGAGCTCTGCGAGTTATGAGTCGCTTCCGCTCCCAGATATCAGTCTGTGCGCCCTCGTGCATTCTGCAAACCGTCGCAACAACAACAAAAAAAGCATGACAAGAAGGACGACAAGGAGTTGTGCATGACGGTTTCTTTCTTTGCCGCTCCCTTTTCTTTTGCTTGGTGCTTGGTTTCTTGTTTCGCTCTCGTGTAACGCCATCGAACCCCGACGCCCCCGCGACCGTGAAAGACGCCACGTTACCTCCTTTTCCCCCTTTGCTCTTTGCTTTGACGTTTGTTTTTTGTATTGCAATTTTGTTTTTGCGTATAAGTCTGTTAGGGCTCCACGCGGGCTAGCAGTTTCCCGCTCATTTTATTTCTGAGCAACTCACTCGCTGACTGGCTCGGTCTAACTGACCGTAAACACACACAAAAAAAAAGACGAACCGTGCCCATTCCATTCCCATTCCATTCCGGGCAAAAGGCACCTAATTCCATTCCCATTCCATTCCCCTCAACGTTGCTGCCCATTCCATTCCCATTCCATTCCGGGGTAGTGAAAATGCGGAGTGATTCCGGAATCATTCCAATTCCGGAGTGGCAACTCCGCAACACTGGTTGTATCTCTCCTTCAGGCTTATGTATTTGTTCACAGATGCGTTGAAGTTGGTCCATGCGAGCGGCTTTAGTGCGCGCCCAAAGTGCTCGAGTAAAATGGTTTCAGTGGATATTATAACACTCGATGAGTTCTCTGCAGCGTTATCACGGTCATCAAGATGAGTGGTGAATGACTGGTATTCTCTAATCTACGAATATGTGTAAAAACAATGTGATGTTTACAGCGAGGTTTGACATAGGTGTCTCCTCTGTAAACGGGTAGGATATGAGAATATCATTAACACGTATTGCTTAGCATGCAGACTCTCGTGACTAACGGAATGATATGTAGAAAATATAACTGGATTTTTATTACTAAGGCGAATTTCTAGCTTGTAGACGATTGACCTTTTTGATGTCATGCTAGAGAGACCACCAGTGATCAATAAATTGGTTCCAATAAATTTAGTTTGTTCTTCTCTCTTTCCTTTTTTTTGTCGATTTTTAGGTCAGGTTGCAAAACTTATTTACCAGTATTTTTTTTAATCACTCCCATAGTGTCCATATCATATATTGCTGACAAACAGCAAATGGCTTCGTTTCTAAGCCGCGCCCTTGGCGGCACCGCAGGCTTTATTGATATATGCTGATATGAAACTCCTTAGTATTCCTGGAAGATGAACGGAGCATGTTGGTCACAAATGTTTGTTTCATCATTTTTTTTCTTCTTTCTTTTACATTTAATGGACAGGTAACCGTGGCAGCTTGAGCTACGCCTGCCGCGACTCAGAAGAAAATTTGGCAGCACTGAGCCAACTATATGGTGCGCTAGCCCACCTTACCATCGAAATCACCAAACAGTATAGCGTTCTTTTTCATTAAGCGGAAAACAGTCGCAATATATTGATTACAGGACTATATAGATTAACATATGGTGCTCAGGAACCAACACAGCCTTGTTTTCAGTTCCTGCGAAATAGCAGAAAAGCCAAACTTCGGCAATTTCGTTAACATTTGTATATTGCATGCTTCACAGCTTCGGGTATTCTTCGCGGTATGCATGTTTCGTGTTTCTTCGAAGATGGCCGTCAGTGAGTATTTCTATAGATCGATACCTCGTTTTCTTTCAACTAAAATAAAAAAAGTAAAGAAGCCGTTATACAATTTCGATTTGAAGGTAACATACAGATCTAAATCCGAAACCCAGAGACAAGACGGCCGGGCTTGACAAGACTCAGAAAGGTGCTACGGATACTTTAGCATTATTTAGTCTTAATGATGGGTCAATGGCTCTGGAGACGGTGAAACTAATTAGAGACTACGATCCTGCGAGTCATAACTCGAAATCGTGCCCCAAATACAAGGAGGGGGCGCTAAAACAACATTGGGGGAAGGTAGATTGGCCTAATGCCGACATAGCCGGTCGGGCTATCGGAACCACGGCGCTGCACCCAGCTCAGATCGCCCGTTTTGGATGTACGTTATTCACTCTTTATGTTTATTCCAAACTTTCTATGAGCGGGGCGGGCTTGCTAGGTTTAGGCGGGCTGCTTTACGCGCTGCTTTATAGGTCTATCGGCTGTCAAGTGAAATTAGCTGTAAGTTGTATTTTGGTGCATTTTATTTTGTCGCTGTTCAGACTGCCGGGCCGAGCTTAAAGAACTGCTGGAGAAATATGTCAATCAGTGGAACGCCACAACGAAGGACACAGGTAAGCAAATTTTGGGTAACGGTATCTGTAGCTTTTACGATGTCCCTTTGGCTGTGCACCACTGGCTTCGAGCGCAACTGATGGGAGTGTTGATCAGTCGATTTTGACATGGGGTTCAGGATTAAGTAACGAGGCCAGATATTCCGTCTTGCTTTGCTCTCTGCAGAATCCATTACTTTTCTGCTATTTTTTGTGCTTTCTCATCTGCTTAAGCAGCTTCTGTGCTCTAGGAGCGATGGTATCGTACTGCTTGGTGCCGCAATGTCAGAGTAACGTGATCAGTCCAAAGTGCAGCTTTCACATCTACTTTAAGGAGGCACCGGTGCATAAAGACACAGGGTATACTGAGAGGCTGTTTTAGCATCCAAACTTCATGGAAAATTTCTGGTTGCTCTTGGAAATGGCTTATAACAAAGTCCACCAGACTACATCTGCATAGCAGGGCTTTATAATATTTTTTAAACTGCTGACAATGTCTTATCTATAAATATATTTTGTGCATGTGCGATGCATGGTCCATGAATCTTAACTAAGATAAGAACATTTAATATTAATTTTTATTTGCTTTGCTTTCTTCGAGGTCTGTGGAACGGTGTAAAAAATAAGTGCAGAAAATGTTAGCTGAAAAGGAAAACAATGAGGAATTCAAGAGCAAGTTCTGAACTTTTCATTTATGTTTCGAACTTCGTGAAAGCTTACTGATTTTCTTCTTAAAATCACTCGTCGCAGAAGAAGCAGTCCTCAAAGAGGGAAAACTGCATGGAGCACAAGCTCCTGAAAAGGCTGCGACAAGATTTTAAAGGCCAGGGGTACGTATAAAAACCTTTTTGTAGAAAAGGTTTTCATATGATGTTGCCATTTTGGTGTTTGGTTAGATTTATTTTTTTCAATGTCATTAACTTTTTTTCCAAGTGTACTAGTCATTTATTCATTCAGGCCCACAACAACCTGTTCAGACCACTGAACTAACTGGAGATTATAGATTTACTGGTTCAGTAACCTTTGCACTAGGAGGGCAGATGACATCCGTTTTTGTTTTCCTAAACATTAGAAAAAGTCAGTGGGTAGCAGGAATGCAACTTTGCGAGTTTGTCAGAGGCCACTTCTGGGGAGCAGTTTCTTAGAACTTCCAATGTTATACTTTGTTGTACAACTCTGACAATCTATCATTACTGCATGTATTTGATGTTTATAGCTCTGTGCATCTTCTGGGCACACGCCAGAAGCTCCTCTTACTGTACCTGCCCTGGCCTGCCCTGCGGAAGAGGCCAAGCCTGGAGCCAACGAGGCCAAGACCAGGGCCAGCGAGGCTGAGAACAGGGCCAGCGAGGTCGAGACCAGGGCCAGCGAGGCCAAGACCAGGGCCAGCGAGGCCGAGACCATGGCCAGCGAGGCCGAAGCAAGGGCATCCGAAGCCGAAGCCAGAGCAGAGTCTTCGAAAACGGAGGACGCTGAGGCCAGGGCCGAGGTGGCCGAGGCCAGAGCAGAGGAGGCCACGACCAGGGCAGAGGAGGCCAAGGCCAGGGTGGAGGAGGCCGAGGCCAGAGCGAAGGAGGCCGAAACGAAGGTCGTCGGGGGGAAAGCACAGATGGCCTTCATGCTCGACGATCTTCTCCCTGCTTTGGAACGTATGACTGAATTTACAAATATCTGGAAACTCCCAGGTTATATCAGTCCTTTTATGAGTAGCTATAAATGGTGATAGGTTAAGAACAAAGTGAAAGCTCCTCCCACCTCTTCCCACTTTAGCAGAGCGAACGCTGAAGAAGATGCGACCTCCTCTCCAGCGTTCGCTCTGCTAAAGTGGAAAGAGGTGGGAGGAGCTTCCACTTTACTATTAAAGGGTAACTGCAAAGAAAAAAAAGTTTTTTTTTAAATAGCCTAATTGGGACAAGCATGTCAAAAAACAATTTTTCCGCGAGAAAAAACATTTTTTACAGCAATATTTATTGCGTGAGACTGATTTTAGTTTGCGGCTATTTCGCCCGTTTTAAATCGCGCGCCACGAAGTTGTGATTATGTGACGTCAATCCCAAAAGGTTCTCATTGGCTAAGAGTTTGATTGACAGCTTAGATCTTGGTTGTTAAACCTTTGTTATTCGTTGCAATTTCCTTTTGAGCGGCATATTTTTACGTTTAAAGAATAACCCATGTGATGAGAGTTATTATTCTTTACAAAAGGTTTACAAGACGGGCACTTCCGTTTGGATTCATACAAACAAAAGCTTCGCCATCTTTCATGGCCGCCGAAGTCTGCTCCCGCCTGTCTCGCCTACCTCGACTAATCGTTTCGCCGAAGTGATCAGTGTTTCGTCGTTTCGTGCTGACCCAGGTGCTTGAGTGAGACTTCTTGAAGTGAAGTAGTGTGTGTTTAGCAGCTGTCGCAGGTGTTAGTGATAGGAAGCGACGCGGGGTTTTGGCTTTCATAGCGCGGTTCTTTCGTTTTCCTCTTTGCTTGCTTAGCGTGTTTTTTTTTTTTTTTCCTTGTTTGTGCGTGCAAATGCTGACTTTTCGGAGATGTTAGATGCGTGATCCCGACAGTGAGCCTTCCAGCAGCCATGTCGCCCCGAAAGGAATGCTATTTGGGTGGAGGCAGTCGGGCGTTCGCGTAGCGACAAACGTGTCCAGTTACGTTCTCGTCATATCGCTCTGGAGGCCGTCGAGATTCGCCCCGTGTGCACCTAACGTCCGCGACTAGACAGAAAATAAAAAAAAAGCACTATGTCCACTACATAAAAATGGTCTCAGTTCATGCATCTGTAGGCAGGTACGAAATCGTGCCCAAATTTATTCACACCGCACGATGCAACACGTCGCTGTGCAAACGCAGTCCAACACGAAGCATAAAAACGGCAGATTTAGGACAACAATGCGGAGTCCATTGTTCAATTAAAACGTAGTAATTTTGTTGAAAACGCCCGCGGCTTTTTACTCACGGAATGCGTCGGGAAACTTCCACATTTTGAAACAGAACGAGGCAGATTTACTTTTAAGAACGCTCCCAGCGTCCTCCCGGACCAGTTTGACTGGATCAGCTGACGACGACGGGACTTAACTGGTTGAACGTCAACCCCACAACAACCAATTTGCGCTCCGTGTTAGCACCGCATTACACACACCACAAACGTTTCAGCTCTGTCTCATCGCCGTGTTGCACCAAACGGAACGAGATCGCCGAAACCAACGCAGCGCTGTCGTGAACCTTGGCTCGTGGTTGCGCACTCGTGGATTCTGTGACTCCCTTCGCTTTGAAAGCGCGCACGACGATTACGAACGATACTTTCCATCTTCCGGGAACATCACAGGGGCACTTCTCCGGTCACGTCTTCGCTACATGTGCTCGCAAACCGCGTCAAACCCACCAAACCAAAAAAATACCACGGCCTGGCGTGGTTGCCAGATCTTGCCGGAAGTCGAGACGCTGCGTCGTTCAACTCCGCAACGCAAGGAGAGTGAGGGGCGTGGCGTACTCCTCTTCCGCGGGGGTCGAAAGAGCGGGAGTTTCAAATGTGGAGAAATTCTGACTCTACTAAATTACGTCCTGTGGCGTAAATATTGATAAAAAAAATATTTTTTTTCGCGGAACATTTGTTTTGTGACATGCTTGTCCCAATTAGGCTGTTTAAAAAAAAAAACTTTTTTTTCTTTGCAGTTACCCTTTAACCTGTCACCGACTATATAGTAGAATATTCCCAATTGTTGCGATTACCAAAAGGTCGAGGAGCAGTGGCGTCACGAGGGTCATCGGCACCCGGGGCGGTAGCCCGCCACGACACCCCCCTGCTTTAGAAAGCTTCGCAAGCCATAGGGCGCATGGAATTGAATGAAGGCACTGGGCTTATCCTTTCAAACAAATATTTTGTATTTTCAAGGTGCACCAAACTAATAATATTTTTTTTCTCAGTGTTGGAAAAAGTTTTTTTTTACTTTTTTTTTCTTCTGTTTCGACGTGCCTAACCTATTTGTCCAGGCCTAACTGCCCGATGTTGCGAATTTGCGACATATTCGATTTTTTCTCTAGGAGTTTATTTGCAGCAAAAGAGACTTTAGCAATCGATTACATACACACGTTTGAAGGTACGTCCTCTGGGCGCCGCTATCTTCTTTGCTGGGGAGCGCGTGGGCTGCGCCATAATCCGATTACGGTATGATGCCTTGATAAGGCGTAATCCGATTATGGCACAACCCACAGCGCACCCACGTGCACCCCAGCAAGCAAGATGGTGGTGCCGGAGGCCGTACTTGCAAACGTGTATGCAAAACAAAAAATAAAGTTTAAACCTTTTTTTGAAGGACGCATTCCCTTAATTTCTTGCGTTAAAGGGTTAACAAGCTGCTCCACATCCAGAAATGAGTACTACTGCTGCTACCATTTTCTGTCGTTCCATAAGTTTTTTTCATTTGAACTGAATGCAGATAGAGGAAATGCTTTTTCGAAATCAGGGTAGGGGATATCTGTGACGGTGAAGCATTGAATCGCGGTGCAAGAGCCGACCCTTCTTGGGTTTGGGGGTCTGCTGTCCCTGTGTTGACTCACAGTGTCAACTTTCATGTGCTAATTTGCTGTTCTGTACACAGGTCTAGCATGTGCATCACTCTTTAAACTTGCTGCTGTACATAGGTGAAATAAGGCCGCTCATGGTGTGATATGGAGTGGCCGCAGTGATCTGTCTCAATTTGGAAACTGTTTGTGAAGCGGCATGTTGACAGTGAGTGCCCGTGTCGAAAGCAGTGAAATATGCACAAAAACACTGAATGTGCGCTAGAGGTGCAATATTGACGACAAAAGTAACAGTCACCGAAGTAGACAAGTGAGCTGACTAAGCTCAGGAAATGAGACTTGAGGGGTATAGACCATTTGCAATATCCCCCAAGCACCCCGGCCCATGCTAGAAAAATCATGGGAACGGTGTTCCTTGAGCTCCTTAGTGATCGGTAATTTCGACCCAATCCATTTTTACATAGCTGTTGAGTGTAATTCGGAGTCACTCTGAAGAAACGCCTGATATACCCCAAGGACCCGTCGTATCGCTTTTAAAATGTTTCCTCAATGTCAACGTTTTTGATACTGCGCATGCTGTCCACCTGGAAGAGCTACAGAAATTTTTTAAATTATTATCATTATCTTACAGCTTCAAAGACGCTGATATTAAGTTTGAAACGCTAAAAATGCTGTAAACAGCCCCGCTGATTCCGAGCTAAATCCTGGTTTTTGTTGTTGTGAATTCTCAGCTTTTTAAGCAATCCGTGCTAAAACCACAATCACAAGAATGATAACATTGTAAGAGATTTCTGCAGCACAGCCAGATTGAAAGGTGGACCTAACGCACAGTATCAAAAATGTTGACATTGACAAGAAAGTTTAAAAAAAAAATGACAGGTCCTTGGGGTATATCAGTCGGTTGTTCAGGGTGACTCCGAATTATGCTCAAAAGCTGTGTAACCATGAAATTGGTTTAAATTAGCGATCACTAAAGAGCTGAAGGAACACCGTTCCCATGATTCCTTGAGTGCGGGCCGGGGCGCTTGGGAATGTAGCTAATGGTCTATTGGGGTACGAAGATGTCTGAGGGGAGAGCAGCCTGAAGATGAAAATATGTTCCCATGATATTCCTAGCGCGAGTTAAAGTGCTCGGATTATTTCAAAAACCGTCTTTTTATGGTGAGCATACACATGTCAAGCATGGGATTTTAGGCTGGATTTCAAAGCTGTATGCTTTTTCGCCATTCATTTAAAAAAATTTGAAGTCTAGGAGTAAGTTTGGTGCAGTGTCTGCTTTAATTGCGTGCACTTTCTCTCAATTTTCCGTTATGTTAAACCAGATGTAACTTATGTGTTACTTTAAAGGGGACGATGCCAGTGTTGACGGTTGTTAACCATTAATTTTTTCGTTATTTGAATATCTAAGTGTAATGTGATTGTGATGGATGCTTCCTACTGCAGGTGTGCCAACCCTCGTCGCAGCTCTGGAGACTCGTGGAGTGACGGGCCCCGTGGTTCAAGAGAGTGTTGTGGAGAACATGGTATGTAGCGATTTCCTCTCTCCACATCGCAATTAAAGATGTGCATCTCTTGTCTTGTTCCTAACCATAATCGCTCATTCACACCTGCGGGTCCACACAATAATCTGCCCAAATTTTGATGCTGGGTGCCGAAATTTGGGCAGATTATTTTAACGCTCGAACCACAACCGTAGACTTTTGACGCCCGGCATCGGAAGTGTGGGAAATATCCGACGACAAACAGATCGGTTAGAGATCTTTTTTCTTTTTTTTTTGTCTGCTGGAGAAAAGTTTCCAATCAGAACAGAAGGCAGGAATTGCATTGCCAGATGTCGCACCAGGAAATGTCAGCTTATCTACAACAGGAATACTAATTTTGGCGTTTCTAAACAAAGCACGGCAAGTTAACAGGACTTTTTCAGGAACTTGAAGACGTCTCGTGCAAAGCTCTGTCAAGTGCCTCCTCACATTGCAATGGCCTTGCCGCTTGCCTCCCTTCTCTTGCTTGCCCAGTTTCTGTCGTCAGCTACAGCTGCTTTGCGACAGAACGCTGCCTTTTGGCACTAGTGAAGGCAGGTGCAGCTTTTAAAAAAGGTCTATTGCATCCTTTGTGATATAGCACATATTCGCAAACAGTTTTATATCTCACTTAACAGATGACACATCAATGTCTTTTTTGTTTTGTTTTCGTCGGTGATT